TGTTTCTCTTCATTTTGAGTTGTGCTCCATCAGCAAAAGAAGGTTCTATGGGCTTTTCTCCCACGAGCTTAACTCCATTTGCGTCAACTCTACTTTAAGGAGGCATCTCTTCTCCAGTTGCATTTTGAGTGCCTTCCAGCCTGAGGGGCTCATTTTCTGGCCCTCTATCTGACAGTGTTTCTCTGCTATTCATAAGGTTTTCAGTGACTAAAGATTCAGAAATAGTTTGTCACTCTTTCTTCCTAGTCTGTCTTTTTCTAGAAGCTCATCTGACACCTGTCCACCATGGGTGACCCTGCTGGTTATTTAAAATACCAGTGGCATAGCCCTCAGAATCACAGCAATTCACAAGCTACCACCGTACAACAGACAGACTAGTAGTGGCCATTTGGTTTTATGTCAAAACTGTCACTTTACATTTCGAAGAGATCTGTGTGCATGCGTAGTAGAACCCTCTAGGGGTGGGGGTGGAGTATCCATTCACTCAAGTATCCCCTCTAGTTACCAGAATGGAGGTGTGCAATCAGCGAGAGACCAGTGAACAATGGACAGATACCAAAACCAGGAGTCCATACAACAGACCAAAACACTACTCGGTCCTGCACCATCCTTAGAATCATCGCTATGTTTGGACCATTGCTGTAACCACTGTGTCAATCCGTCTCACCGAGGGCCTTCCTTTTTTTCACTGATCCTGTACTTTTCCATGTCCTTCTTCCATGACAGGTTTCTTCTGACAACATGTCTAAAGTGTAAGAGATGAAGTTTCTCATCCTTACTTCTCAGGAACATTTCAACTCTTATTCTTCGATTCTTCTTACAGTCCATGGTTTATTTAATATTCTTCATCAACACCATAATTAAAGGCATCAGTTCTTCTTTGTTCTTCCCTTGTCATTGTCTAGTGTTCAGATGCAAATGAGGTGATTGAAAATACTCTGGCTTGGGTCAGGCTCACCTTAGTCTTTGCTTTTAAAGAGGTCTTTTGTAGCAAATTATCTCAATACTAAAGAGAAAGAAGTTCTAGGTGAGAGACCATAGTCAAGGTAGTTAAGTGCCCTTAAGCTGGAAAAATGCCCTTAAGACGCCTCCGTTTCCCTCCTCCCTCATCTCTGCTTCTTGGGGTCATCTCCCATATAAACTTCCTCCCATCACTTCTCTGTCTCAGACTCTGCTTTTGGCAAGGACTTTAAGTCTTACTGAGTCATAGTTTCTGCTTCCTCAGTCAGATTGGAACTGCTCTAGGCAGGGACCTTTCATTCCCCGGTGTCTCTCTCATGGGACATCTGCTGCCTTGTGCCAAGAGCCTCAGTTCTCACAAATGGTTAATGATAACTATGTTGTTTGCTGCCATTGAGTCCGCCCCAAACTCATGGTGATCCTATGCACAACAAAATGAGACACTACTCAGTCCTGTGCCATGTGTTGTAGTGATTGAAAGTAGATCATGAGACCTTTCTTCTAAGTCTATCCTAGTCTGGAAGTTCCACTGAAACCTGGTCAGCATCATCCAGTAAACTAGTTCCATTGAGTCAATACCAACTCATGGCAGCTCCATGTGTGGAATGTATATATAATTACCACTATCCTCTGTTGAAAGGAGCTCTGGTAGCGTAGTGGTTACGAATTGGGCTGCGAACCGCAAGGTCAGCAGTTTGAAACTACCAGCTGTTCCACGGGAGAAAGATGAGGCTTTCTGCTCCCGTAAAGATTTATAGCCTCGGAAACCCTGTTCAGGGTCGCTATGAGTCAGAACCGACTCCACAGCACATAACAACAACAATCCTCTGTTGAGGAGTCCTGGTGTGGCGCTGTGGGTTAATTCACCAGACTGCAAAGCCATTTGAAGTTCAAGGTTGGCAGTTCAAGCTCACCAGCTGCTCCTCGGAAACCCTATACAGGGTGGCTATGGGTCAGAACTGATACGACGGCACTTAACAACAACATCCTCTGTTGAAGGAGCTCTGGTAAGCATAGTGGTTATGAGTCGGGCTGCTAATCTCAAAGTCAGCAGTTTGAAACTACCAGCCGTTCCGTGGAAGAAAGATGAGGCTTTCTTCTCCTGTAAAGATTTACAGCCTTGGAAACCCTATACAGGGTGGCTATGAGTTGAAACCGACTCCACAGCACATAGCCACCACCACCACCACCCTCTATTGAGGGCTGTGTGCCAGACATAAGCACATTCTCCTTATCTGACTTAAGATTCACACACCTCAGTCTCATTTCTAAGTGAGAAAATCGAGGCTTAGAGAGGTAAAAGGTTTTTGTGGAAACCCCCTCTCAGATCACTTGATTTGTAAGAGGCAGAGAGGTGGGATTTGAACTCAGAGATGTCAGACTAAAAGGAACTTTTAGTTACAGGGCCATAGGACTAGCTTTTTTGGTTGGGCAGTGAGATTGGACTGGGCAGGAGATTTTAGAGGAAACAGACTAGGCATTGTCTTGTCTGTTTCCTTTCCCAAATTCCTTCTTGGGCTCTGTGTTGGGCGGTGGCCCTTGGAGCCACCCCTCAGGCACTTACCTGGAGCCTGAAAAGCAGTGAAGCCAGGCCCAAATCAGACCCATTTCTGTCCTATTGGTTCTGACTAATGGTGGTCCTACAGAACAGAGATGAACTGCTCTAGAGCATGTCCAAGGCCGTACATCTTGACAGAGGTAGACTGCCACATCTGTCTCCTGTAGAGAAGTTGGCTGGTGGGTTCAAACTGCCCATCTTTGCGTTAGAAGCCAAACACTGAAACGCCCCATCACCAGGACCCCTTTAAGCAGTGGAAACAGTAATTAAGCCCTGATTAGACATCAGGGACTATCTGCCCTGAAGGAGTATGGAATGGGGGTAATCGCACCTTAGCTCACACTGTGCAGCCAGAGGCCAGAGAGGGCTTCCCAAGGAGAAGTTTCTCCCTTGCCCTCCACTGACTCCCCACCCCTCACATTTGGAGAGCCATTTATTTTGTAAATAACTCAGTTTCTCTGTTGGGTAGATTTGCTTACTGATGGGCTTTCCCAAGCAGTGAGGGGCTAGGTGTGGATGCTAACCAGGGGCCCCAGGGGAATGGCAGGGAGGGAGAGAGGGACGCAGGATGGAGATGGCCAAACCCAGTAGGAAAGGAACACTGGAATCCCAAGTTAAGGCCCTTGCCCAACCTCACTCCTGTTGTTGCTTAAGACTCTCGATCACATCACTGAGGACTCTGTACCTGGGTTCCTGGCTTCAGAGAAGGCACAAGGTCTTTGACCAGTTTGGCTTCGGAGACTGTGATTCCGCCCACCATGAAGAGGATCAGGAGAGGGTGGTCGCTGGGATGAGGTCGGCTCACCTGCAAAAGACACCACCCCACCATCAGCTGGGTGCTGTCAGGAATCTTTTTATCGAGTGACTTTCATTATATTTTTCCAGTGGCCCCTAGGGCACTTACCTACACGACACAATATGTCCTTTTAAAAAAAAGGTTGCTGTGGAGTTGCTTCTGACTCTTGGCAGCCCCGTGTGTGCCAGAGTAGAACTGTGCTCCATCAGAGTTTCAATGGCTGCTTTGTCAAAAGTAGATCATAAGGCCTTTCTTCAGTGATGTCTCTGGATGCACATGAAGCTCTGATCTTTACTTAGCAACTGAGCACACTACCCATGTGTGCCACTCAAGGATCCCATCACCTTATTAATCCCTTTAAATAAAGGCTTTACTGAACGAAAAGCTAAAGAATGGAAGTCATTAAATACTATGAGAAAGCAATTTACTTCTTCCTTATCACTCTTCAGGTCTCAGCATAAATGTGCTGCGCCCCCCCCCCCCCTTCCACACTCTGTGTTGCATTGAAGCGGTAACTCTGTGTGTTTTTCTTTGTTGGTCGTCTCCTCTGTTGTTGTGAAGTACCATGCAGTCGGTTCCGACTCATAGTGACCCTGCACAGGGTTTCCAAGGCTGTAAATCTTTATTGGAGCAGAAAGCCTCATCTTTCTCCCATGGAATAGCTGGTAGTTTCAAACTGCCGACCTTGGGGTTAGCAGCCTGATTCGTAACCACTACGCTACCAGAGCGCCTTGGTTGTCTCCTCTACTAGAACATAAACTTCATGATGGCAGCAACCTCAGCTGCCTGGCTCATTGCTGAATTCCCAGCTTAATTAGCATAGTAGCAGGGGGTACGAGTTGGGAGGCGAACCTCAAGGTCAGCAGTTTGAAGCTACCAGTTGTTTCAAGGGACAAAGATGAGGCTTTCTGCCCCTGTGAAGATTTACAGTCTCAGAAACCTTATGTGGGATTGCTATGAGTCGGAACTGATTCCACAGCACACCACCACCACCACCATCATGGCACATAATAGGTGCTTTCAAAATGTTGGTGGAATTCATGAAGAATCAGCGCTCTAGGTAAGTATGAATGTATGTCAGGTGAGGTAGGAGGGGAAGAAGATGAAGAAGACCAGGGCCCTAACTTAACATCAGTCTTAACTGAGGTTCTCCACTGTGAACCCTCAACTAGGTGCTAGGGACAGTTCCTCCCATTTTCTTATGAGTTCATCAATGAGGCAATTAGATGATCACTTATTAGGGGTTAGATATATTAGTGGGTGGTGAACTAATAGACTATGACTCATAGTAACTTCTCATGAAATGCAAAATGACTAGTACATACCAAATCCACTGCCATCAAGTCAATTCTGACTCACAGAGACCCTTGTATGGACAAGGGTGCACCGCTCCTTAGCATCTCTGAGACTGTAAACCTTTATAGGAGAAGACAGCTCATTTTTTCTCCTCCAGAGTAGCTGGCAGGTTTGAACCACTGATCTTGCAGTTAGCAGCCCAACACTTAACCCATGATCCCAATACTTAACCCATGAAGGAGTGCTGGTGGGGCTTCTGATGAGAATGTGTATCTGGGAGGTAGATTTGGTTTGGTGAAGAGCGGGTACGAGAGAGTGTGAGGAAAGTCATGAGACTAGCCTTCACAGAGGGGTGGAGCAGGCTGGAAGCCCAGTCAGCACAGAGAGGGAATCAAATTGTTACTGGAAGGATGCTTCCAGCTGTCTGTCTGATCACTGAAACCAAATGGTGGGAGACACTGGCTGCAACTCCAGCAAGGAGAGAATGGACAAAGGCATTGAGAAGCCACTTACACTAACATGTAAGCCACCTGGGGAGGTGCCCCGAGAGTCAGTGCCAAAGAGCAGCAGACCAAGAAGTCCTTATTCTTGGCTCCTCACCCTGTCCTGATGCCTTTAACTGGGCTCTTCTTGCTCCTTTGCCTAAATATACCCATGCCTCAACATCTTATTTATATATTTTTAAGTGTTCTATTGTGAATTGAGTTAAGGTTTACAGACAAGATCATCAGCTTTACAGTCAACAAATCCTACACTTTGTTTCATCTCATTGATTACACTCCCCTCCCTGCTACAACAATCACATCAGCTTTATAGTCAACAAATCCTACACTTTGTTTTATCTCAATGATTACACTCCCCTCCCTGCTACAACAGTCATCCCGCTTCCTCCCTGTGGTTTCCACCTGCATTCCTAGCCTTTCTCAACTTTGTCCTCAGGAAAACGTTGCCCTTTTGATCCTGAATGATTGACCATTCCATGTTGAGCACACCATAACAGTGCTGTTGCCCATACTCCATAAACCTATCTACTAATTGGCTAAAAATTGATCCAGGAGGATGAGTTCCTTTCCAGACCTGAAGGGTGCTCAAGGGTCAACACCTTATTTTTAAACTATTTCAAACGATAATGTATTTGTTCCACATTATACACGTTACTCTGTGATCTCCAGAGAAAACATTCACTGTGGAAGAGAAAGGAAGAGAAACCTAACCTTCAAAGTGGGGGATGGTGAATACTAGGAAACATCTCAGAGCTTGTCTATCTTTAAAGACTCTTGACCCCTTATCCTCCTCTAGCAGTCTGTCCTGTCTCTCTCTTTCCTTCTCCTTGACAGCTAACAGAAATCTACATTGCTGACTGCTTTCATTCTAGCCCATGCGATCCTGCTCACTGGAGTTGCCCTCACGGAGGTCACCAATGACCATTCTATTGTAGGAACCAATGTCTTCATGCAACTGATGTTTCTGTGACATTTATCACAGTTGATGATACCCGCCTCCTCTTTGGCTACAGCAATAGCACTTTCTCTTGGTTTTTCCTTTGGTTTCCAATTGGTTTCTTTCGATTGTTGCTTCTCAGATTTCGTCATTGGTTCTGTTTCTTGACTTTCCCTTTCAAATATTGGTGTCATGAGCTGAACTGTGTTCAAGTCCTAACTCCCAGTAAGTGTGGCTATGATCTTATTTGGAAATAACATCCTTGCAGATGTAATTAGCCATGAGTATCAGGCCATACTGAAGTAGGGTGGGCCTTAATTCAATATGATTGGGTTTTCTTAAAGGAAAAGGAGGAAAAAGACAGAGGCAGACATTGGAGTTAAATTGCCACTAGCCAAAGAATCCCAGGGGTTAGAAGAAGCTAGAAAAGGCAAAGAGCTGTCAGAGTGAGCATGGGCTTTAATTCCTAACTGTGGAAGAATGAATTGGTTGTTGTAAGCCACCCAGTTTGTGAGGCTTTGTTACAGCAGCCCTAGGCTAGGAAGGTAGTCTAGGTTACTGAGTGTTCCATCCTTGGGCCCTTGTTCTTCTTGTTATGCCTGGAGGACCTCATCCACTCTCATGCCTTATAGCATCTTTTCTTGAATCTATACCATTAGCGCAAACATTTCTACTGAGTGCCTATGGGCATCACTACTTGGATGTCACCTAGGATTCCCAAACTCAACAGGGCTCAAACTTGATGCATGATATTCCTATATGTCTGTTCTGTTCCTGCTCTTGAGTTTCTAACATCATCACTAGGTGACTCTGCACCTGGGAGTCATATTAAACTTTGCTCTCCCTTTCGTCTCCCATATCGACCTCCTCTTAGATGTCCTGAGATCCCTTTGCTTCTCACTGTCCTTGCCTCAGAGCCTGGTCCTGCTCCATGACTGGTTGCAGACTGGACCTTTGGGATCCATAAGGTTTTCACTGGTTGATATCTAGAAGTAGATTGCCAGGCTTTTCTCTGTAGTTCATCTTGGTCAGGAAGTTCTGCGGAGATCTGTGCAGCATCCTAGCAACATGCAAGTCTCCACTGGCAGACAAGAGGTAGCTGGGCAAGAGGGACACTGGCTGGAAACCAAAGCCAGGTCTGTCATATGATGTTGCTGTTGGGTATTGTTGAGAGTCAGCTCTGACTCATAGTGCCAACAGAATGAAACACTGTCCAATTCTATGCCACCCTCACAAGTATTATGTTGAAACCCATTGTTACAGTCTCTGTGCTAATTCATCTCATTGAGGGTCTTCCTCTTTTTCCCTGACCCTCTACTTTACTAAACATTATGTCCTTTTTCAGTGTCTGGCTCCTTCTGATAGCATGTCCAAAGCACGTGAAATAAAACCTTTCCATCCTTGATTTTAGGGGGCAGTCTGGCTATACTTCTTCCAAGACAGATCTGTTTGTTCTTTGGAAAGTTCATGATACTTTCAATGTTCTTTGCCAACATCATAATTCAAATACATCAATTCTTCTCTGGTCTTCCTTATTCATTGTTGAGTTTTCACATATAAATACAATGATTGAAAATACTATGGCTTGGGTTAGACACACTGTGGTACCTTGAGTTTACTTGATAATGGCTTTGCTATCCAATGTCTCTGGTAGTGTAGTGGTTATGAATTGGGCTGCTAACCTCAAGGTCAGCAGTTCGAAACTACCATCTGTTCTATGGGAGAAAGATGAGGCTTTCTGCTCTTGTAAAGATTTACAGCCTCAGAAACTCTGTACAGGGCACTATGAATTGGAACCGACTCCATAGTACATCACCACCACCACCATCCAGTGTCTTCATTCAAATAGGGTGTCCAGGACTCTAACAGTGGGATTGGCTAGTTTTGCCATCCTGCTAGGTTTAAAAGGAGCTATCTCAGAAGCAGGAACAGATGATCCCAAGACTTCTTTCTTCTTCAAGAAAGAAGAACATGAGTGGACTATGAAATCCTTACCTAGAAAGGTGGTGAAATGAGAGGTGGTGGCAAAGGTGGTGACCTGGAGAGACAGAGCAGCCGTGGGCTTCTAGGTCCATGGACCGAGTACAGCAGAATATCTACAGAAGGAGACCGGCTTACAGAACATGCCCTTTATAATTTACAGACTGACTAAAAGAGCACCGTAACACTTGTCTGAGCAGGGCAGAGGCCAAGGGTCCACATGGCTGAGAGGCCAAAGACAAGAGTGACGCATGCCTCCAGTATAGCAGAAAGGAGGCCTTCCTGACCGGAGA